AGACTTGATTGGATTCAATATTTTTCTGCCCTTACCAAAAGCCTATTTCAGTTCCATCTCCTAGGAAACATCCATATATGAAGCAGGCTGATCCCAAGGAAACCGCAATATTACTACTGTATTATGATATTAGTTAGGGGTGTGCATCGGTTCTGTGTGGGTGTTAAATAAAACAAATTTGGGGGATGGGGTGGAAGCGTGGTGTCAACAGCCCTCCTACACTGGGGCCAAACAAAGTCTCATGGCACCTTGTTTCTGAAATTTTTCATACCTTGTATCTATGTGTCCCTATAAATTGCTATGCTTCTCTGAGGTCATGAGCTATTCAAGACTGAGGTTGTCCAAAATGTTGCCTACAGAGCACTGTAGAGCTCTGGATTTGTTTGTTTGTTTGTTTGTTTGTTTGTTTGTTTGTTTGTTTGTTTGTTTTTAAAGCACAGCAGCAGAGGATATTTTTAAAAGTTAAAAGTTTAATTTAATTTTAGAAAAATCTCCATTCTACATCAGGGGTCAGCAAACTTTTTCAGCAGGGGGCCAATCCACTGTCCCTCAGACCTTGTGGGGCGGGGCAGACTATATTTTGAAGGGGGGAAATGAACGAATTCCTATGCCCCACAAATAACCCAGAGAAGCATTTTAAATAAAAGGACACATTCTACTCATGTAAAACCATGCTGATTCCCAGACCATCCGCGGGCCAGATTTAGAAGGCGATTGGGCCAGATCCAGCCCCCGGGTCTTAGTTTGCCTACCCATGTTCTACATTAATAAACAAACAAACAAACCCAAAGTTCTTCAGAACTCTGCAGGCAGCATTCTCAACAGCCTCACACTAAAATGCATATCAGAGGCCTGTAAAGATCTAGGCATGTAAGGCCTATTGAAGGACATAAATAACCACCAGAAAAAGGCTGGTGTGAAGATGCAAAGTTTAAACAAATGTACAAGCGAGAATGTAGACCGCTCAGCAGCATCCTATTAGCTATGAAGTAAGAAGGAGACGCGGGTGGCGCTGTGGGTTAAACCACAGAGCCTAGGACTTGCCAATCAGAAGGTCAGAGGTTCGAATCCCCGCGACGGGGTGAGCTCCCGTTACTCAGTCCCTGCTCCTGCCAACCTAGCAGTTCGAAACCACATCAAACTGCAAGTAGATAAATAGGTACCGCTTTGGCGGGAAGGTAAACGGCGTTTCCGTGCGCTGCTCTGGTTCGCCAGAAGCAGCTTAGTCATGCTGGCCACATGACCCGGAAGCTGTACGCTGGCTCCCTCAGCCAATAAAGCGAGATGAGTGCCACAACCCCAGAGTCGGTCACGACTGGACCTAATGGTCAGGGGTCCCCTTTACCTTTAAGAAAGAGACAACCATCTGCTCCCCACCCCCATAAGACATGATGGGGGAAAGTAATCTTTTACTTTCCCCACAAAAAGTCACAGAACCTATCTGTCTGCAATTTTGCTGGATTAATGCACTCTGTGCCAGAAAATTTCATCCACTTTTACCAAAAGAGGAAAAAGTTGTAGCTGTTTTTAGATTCCCCATTATAGTGAATGGGGAATCACAGAACTTCGTTTTGTACAAATCAGCCTGAAAACTGAAACACAGATCAAAACAGAGAGCTCAAAGCAACTCAGAAATTGATTGGATTAAAAAAACAACAACAACCCTGAAACAAATACATGGTGAATCTTGGGGTCTGTGAACACCCTTAATATTAATTTGGCAATCTGTATAAGCCAAGATGTTCCATTACGGTGTACTTTCTGTCAATCCCCCTGCCCCCTATGATTACAATCATACAAGGGGGAAGGCAGTTATGAGCCTACTGACCCCCAATACTCTCACAAGTCCCCTTTGCTATTTTTGCAGGCCCCTCTTTTAGAATTGGGTTCTAAATCACATGGGGACCTTTTCTGAGTAGAGCAGGTTCACCAATGGAGATGTTCAGCCCCCAATACTTGGGGAGCTGCAACAATGAGGCTGTCCAGGGAGGAAGGTACACCAACTCATCCCTGCTCTCCCTCCTGTGAGATGGTCATGGTAGGGCAGAGGAGAACACAATAGGCCTCATATCAGTAATGATCCCATTCTTGCTGAATACTGTGATATTTCCACCACTACAGAGGACTTCAATATGGCCAGAATCATTAGGGATTTACAACAGCTGTTCAGGCAAACAGAAGTGGTACAGAATGGCCGCTTACCGTCCTCCCAGTGCATGGCGGTTGTGGCCTGACACGGTGCCTCCTTTTCCCCCAGACACTCCATGCTACCTTAGCTGTTTTTCCCTGTCCCCCTCAGCTGCAGCAGATGCTGACGGGTTCCCGCCAAACCCATCCATTCAAAGGAGCCAATCTGTCCCGGCCCTGGGGGAGGGATGGGGAGTGGACCTGAGGGAGGCAAGCTTCCCTTGGGTCCATCCTCCATCTATTTGCCCAGCCAACCCCTCAGCACGGCATCTAGTCAGCCGGGAGCATCACCCACCCTTTCATTAATAGTTTATTACTGCTCTAACATTTCCTTTTCAGCTAGGAGGGCTTTGCTGTGGTCTTTTGACAGTTGCTGTATTTGGAGCCGGAATGAATTTTCCCTGCTTTGCAGATTTCGCCTTCCCCTTAGTCACAACTTTGGCGGTTTAGGCCTTGGGCGGAATCTTATAGTCTTTCATCCAATTTGAGTGCGGTGAAATGGTGACTCACCCAGCCCCTGTTCTCTGTGGCAGCGATAACAGGGTACCCTGTTAGAAGGGTCTGGTGGAGAGTCTCTGTCCCAAGAGCCACTTGGTAGGGCTAGCGGGCCATAGAGCTTCCCTCGGCATTTGGAGGCCATCTGTGTAAACCTGCATTTTGTGATGGATTCACCCCCGAATAGACCCTGTCATGCCTCAGCCCCCCAGCAGGGGCGGGGCTGAGAGGGATATATGCCCAATACCAATGCCAAGGCTTCCTACATCTGAAATCAATAAAGTTGTAGCCTTTCCCTCCCCGATCTGGCCACAGTGATCCATGTGACAGTCACCTCCAGGTTTGACTACTGTAATTCGCTCTACACGGGGCTGCCCTTGAAACTGTCCCACAAACTCCAGCAGGTGCAGAATGCTGCAGCGAGGCTCCTCACGGGGTCCCTGCCATGGGAGCATATTCACCCAGTGCTTTACCAGTTGCACTGGCTCCTGGTGGAGTATAGGGTCAGGTTCAAGGTGCTGGTCTTGACCTTTAAAGCCCTTTGTGGCTTAGGGCCCTTGTATCTATGGGACCGCCTCTCCTGGTATGCCCCGCAGAGGACCTTAACGTCCATTAACAACCATAGTTTAGAGGTCCCGGGCCCTAAGGAAGTCAGATTATCCTCCACCAGGGCCAGGGCCTTTTCAGTGATGTCCCATGAGACCAGGGCCCTTCAGAATTTAACCTCCTTCCGCCTGGCCTTTAATTTGAATTCAGCCTGATCTTTTATTTCCCTTCCCTCCCCCTACCCTTTTATGAAGATCACCCGCTCTGAGACCCCACAGCTAATTCTCCCCTGGCCTCCTCACTGGCCCAAGTAGGACCAATTCAGCCAGCTAGCCCTGGGGATTATCTAATGCTTATTTCCCCTAAATTGATTTTTGAATTTTATTGTTATTCATGTTTTTATACTGTATTTTATGCTGCTTTTATAATTAAGTGTTTTAAATTTGTTGTTAGCTGCCCTGAGCCCCGTTTTTGAACCGGGAAGGGCGGGGTATAAATAAAAATTATTATTTATTATTATTATTATTATTATTATTATTATTTATTTATTTATTTTAAATACCAGACAGTTATTGTGTCCATTCATTTCCCACTCAGTAGTTAGGCACGCTGGGTGGGGGACTCTGCGGCTGGGCACACAAATAATTCTGAATTTTGTCCATCTTCACTGTAATAACTAAAGCAGGTGTGTTGCAACCCACACAAGGCATTATCATCACACTCCTGAGTCTCTGATACAGGGATGGAGAACCTGCAGCCTTCTAGATATTGCTGGACTACAATTCACATCATCATTAACCATGCTGGCTGGGGATAATGGGACCTGGAGTCCAATATCTGGAGGACTCATTGTTTTTTTTAGGGGGTACTCAAGGGTACGCAACACCGGCACCTCTTTTTTTGTTGTTAAAAAGTGTGGCACATACTGTAACAGCCTCACAGTGAGCACCTATTTTTCTAGAAAAAAAAGCACTGAGGACCAGAGATTAGCCACCACTATTAGAGCATCTCCCAATTCTCAGAGAAAGAGGAGTAGCTCAGTTGTTTTCAACACTGGTCGCCATTCATCAGTACAAAAACATACTTGTTCAAAGAAACAATAGGAAGTAACACCCCAATTAGTGTATCCCATATTGCTATTCTTTATTCTTTATTGCTATTATTGCAATTCTTTATTGATTTTATTCTTGCAACTTTGATACAGCACTGGGGAGGATTATTGGGAGGGAATGGGATTCAGTACATCTCCCAATATAAAAAGATAAGCTTCTGAAAGGCCTTTTCCATGTAATTTTTACAGTTGCGCTATAGCCTGCTTTTCATGTGTAAAACCCGCTGAATGAAATGCTGCTCTCATTTGAGACAAACTATCTGGCATCCTTAGAGTTCCGATTTTTTTTAATCTAATATTCTCAGGATAAATCCTGAATGCCCCTAAACAGAAAACACTGTGTAGAACCTTATATACTAACATACAACCGTATTTCCATGAAACAAATTGAGAAAGGAACAAAAAGAAGGAGCAATAAATCTATAATGAGAGACATTTTGAAAATAGAGCAGTTCCCAAGAACAAAATAAGAAACTGAGTGTGCAGGTACAGGATGATGAAAATTATAAGATCTGGTGGACCACCACAACAATCAGCATTTATCCATGTATACAGTGTATTTGCGATTGAAATTATGGCACATTTTCATCCTAACATCCACTCCCCTGACACGTCATAACAAACTTATGTTCTGAAGGTGTTTACCCCATTTCATACATACCGGTCTTGCCAAATTTCGATTATTTGCTAAGCCCTAAAGAAAGAAAGAAAAATAGATTAAAAATAGCCACTCGGTGTGGTTACAAGTTCCACCTACATGCGTAAATACTTCACAGCTCTCCTACCAGAGTGGTTTGTTTAATTGTTTGTAAGGTGTCTCACTCGCTCTCAGGCTATATGTACCAAAGGGAATCAAACCAAAAGGGCAGAGATGAAACGCAACTCTTTCAATCAAGTACAGCACCTGTGGATTTGTCAAGTTGCTCAAACATGTTCTACCTACATTTGAAAGTACGCATAACGAGCTTCAGAACGGGCTTCCTACAAGCCTAGGCTGTTTGGCTTGATTTGCAAAGTTTTCTTACCTCAGGTGAACTTGAATTAGCCCCCATCGTGGTATCTGCTGCATATGATCCAGTTGCTCGAAGTGGTGCTTGAGTGATAAAGTTCACAGCTGACAGTGCCTCCTGGGTGAAGTAGATGAGCAGGTGACTCATGACCCCACCCCTTTCTGAATTCCAAGGAATGAAAATAGCTCCCTCCCTATTTCCTTCAGTATCTTGAAGCCAGTCATTTGAGTTAATTGATGCTGAAGGTCCCCGTGTTGTGGTGGAGGTGACTTAAGTGGCTATAGGTCACTGTGGCCATACAACTTGGTTGACGAGAACATCCGTTTAACTATTCAGCCTGTGTACTGAGCTCTCAAAGTCTAGGAAAGTTACGCTGTTTAAATGAAGCTATGTGAACTACCTGGAGATGAAGCAGCTTGAGGTGAAGGACCTCTTTGTGGGAACCCAATGGAAAGATGATGGTTGTATCTTTTCTCCTGAACTTCTCAGCATCTGGAGAATGGGGAACCCTTAAATGTGCAAATAAATGTTTGGAAAATTATTTAAGTAAAGGCAAAGAAGAAAGATTGTTGATGGCCACTCTATGATCTCACTCCACTGAAAAATGCAGGTGTTTGACTGACGTAGCCCTTAATCTGCATAACAAGACTTAACCAATAAAGATTTTATGGAACATTGATAAAGAGAATACTCCCATATTTGGGGGTGTTGATGAAAATGTGACGAGGACATAGAGAAGGCATAGAGCTGGGTAACACAATCATCTGCTTCCCAACTACAGGGATTCAAAGCTTGCCAAAAGTCTTAATGGCCAAAATATGAGGCCTTTGGGGTTGAAGAGTGGGTATAAAATATCAGTAAGCATTTAGCCAACATGTACATAGACCTAGTCAGCTGAAATTATTACAGCTCTAGAATCACTTGTCTTGTTCTGAATTTTGTCCAGTTTGTGGCACACCAGTCCAGTCTACAAAAACGTTCATATTGCAGGAAACCATATAATAGCAGCATGATGAACCAGGGAACATCATTCCCCTCCAGGTATAACAGGTGCCCATTATCTGCACTTTTCAGAAAAAAATGGATGTCATGTTTGTTCCAGTGGACTTTTCCAGCTGATTGAATGAATCTCTGCCATGGGTGCCATTTTTGTATTGTTTTGCTTTTTGTGGTTGTAACTGGTTTGTGTGTTTTTTGCTATTTTTTATTGTACATCACATTGAGACACTTGTGTGGAAGGCGATTAATAATACAGCAGTACCTCGGTTTTCCAATGTCTCGGAAGTCGAACGTTTCAGTTTTTGAACTCCGAAAACCCAGAAGGAAATGTTTTGGTTTCCAAACGCTTTTCAGAATGTCGAACACACTACGTGGCTTCCATAGTAAATGCTTCAGTTTCGAGCAATTCGGAACTCGGTCTTCTGAAACGGATTACGTTTGAAAACCGAGGTACCACTATCATAGGAGCACCTCCATCACACAGTTATACCAGGATGGGACTGAAGTACAGCACCTGCATGTTTAGGAAACCTCAAAACTTGTTGAACTTTTTAAAGGAAAACCCAAAAGTTGTTGATCTTTTTCAGTAAAAGCTACAAGAATTTTTGAGCTTTTGGGAACATTTGCTGGATTTTTAAAAAATAATAATCCAGGACACCATTTTTGGAAGTGAATTCCAGGAAAATCAGGACGTATGGCCATCATCCCTGAGCATTGGCCTTGCTGGCTACGGAAGTTGTAGTCTGAATATCTGAATGGCACCACGTTGGCTATTCCTGAGATATATTACCCAGGAAGGATAGCTCCTTCTTTCTATTTATGCACTACCAAGCTTTTGCAACACAGTTCAAAGTGAAAATTACTTCATAGCAGGTAGAAGCAGCTCAGCGTCTTCCTTATCCATGAAAAGAAACATATGCAAATAATTGCTTGGGGCCACCATAGGCTCATGTGTCAACTTGTCTTATTTCTGTCAACTCAGTTGAATTTCTGTGCCTTACCCATTTGTTCCCTGAACACAGCAACTAATAATAAACGTACTTACATGGAAGGAAATCCCATTGACTATAGTGTACCAGTCTCAAGTTGGAAAGTTGGAAATTTTCCATTATGAATCCAGAATGTTCTACTGTTAATACAGAATCTTCATTTACCAACCACCAAATAAGAATCTCACCATGCTCTAAGTAGCAAGCGACCTCAAAGCATGAGAAATTTATTCTGATCTTCAAATAACTGGAGGGGGTGTTGAGATTCTGAGGTCCCCAGAGGGGCACCCCAAAACACTCGTTTTCAGACACTTCCCTATGCTAGGGAAGATTTCAAACCTATTGTAGGGAGGGGGAGGCAGAGCATGAAATTAACCTGTAAATTTTTGTTACTAAAAAGAAGTAAAACTGGATTTTTTTTAAGTACACAAAGCTCACAAGTACAGTGATACCTCGGGTTAAGTACTTAATTCGTTCCAGAGGTCCGTTCTTAACCTGAAACTGTTCTTAACCTGAAGCACCACTTTAGCTAATGGGGCCTCCTGCTGCTGCCACGCCGCCCAGAGCACAATTTCTGTTCTCATCCTGAAGCAAAGTTCTTAACCCGAGGTATTATTTCTGGGTTAGCGGAGTCTGTAACCTGAAGCGGATGTAACCTGAAGCGGATGTAACCTGAGGTACCACTGTACACAAAGATAAAGAGGTAAGAGCCATTATCTAATCAAATTAGATAATAAGGCAGTGTTAGCTTGCCCTTCACAAGGAAGAGCCAGTTCCTGGTTGGTACAGGCAAGGCTGGCCTTACTATGAGCCACAATGAGCTTCATGGCTCAGATGGCAGATTAGGAGAGGTGTCAGTTTGTTGGTCCCTATCAGCCACATGTCGCCATGGCTACATCTTCACAGCTTCTGCTGCTTTTGTCATGTGGAGCTCTTGCCCCATGTCTCACTGCGGGGAAGAGGGCCTTCCTTACAGTGAGGCATTGTGGGTCCCAAAGACCCCACTGGGGCTTCTTTCAGAAATAGCTGTATGTTGTGCATAGTTGTCTGTGGAAAAATGCAAATGCACGGGAACCTACTCACATGTAGAGGCTCCGTGCTATCAGGATACCCATGCGACCTCACCTCTCAGGCATGTAGAGGGCCTACCTGTGAGTAGTGCTCAGGAGTTCAAATACCTCTGCTGACAACCACAGATGGCATGTAGTTGTTGCAGAAAGAAGACCTGGTGGCAGAGCTGAGGCTAAAAGCACAGATATGCTAAAGATATGCTCTAGCTGAGAGTAAGGCATGACTAGGGCTAGAGAATTCTCAATACCACCACCACCACCAAGCCACAGCTCTCAGCATTATCTGGAGGAAGCCATGACAGTTAAACCGGTAAAATACAATATGCATTAGTGTAGCTATCACCTATCTGGCTCACATGGATTGCAATCCAACATGTTTATTCATAGATGCTCGAGCACTGTGTCTGCTGCTGAGCCTGTACTTTTCCTTCCTTGACTAAAGATCTCTTTCGCCCAAGTGAGACATCCACAAGCACAGTTAAAGTACACAACTTCCTCCCAAATAATTTTGGGAACAGTAGTTTGTTATAATGGTAGTAAGGGGAAAGGTAAAGGACCCCTGGACGGTTACGTCCAATCAAAGGCGACTATGGGGTTGCGGCGTTCATCTTGCTTCAGGCTGAGAGAGCCAGTGTTTGGCCACAGACAGCTTTCCAGGTCATGTGGCCAGCATGACTAAACCACTTCTGGCTCAATGGAAACACTGTGACAGAAACCAGAGCGCATGGAAACGCCGTCTACCTTCACGCCGCAGAGGTAACTATTTATCTACTCATGCTGGTATGCTTTCGAACTGCTAGGTTGGCAGGAGCTGGGACAGAGCAACGGGAGCTCACCCCGTTGCGGGGATTCGAACTGCCGACCTTCTGATCGGCAAGCCCAAAAAGCTCAGTGGTTTAGACCACAGTGCCACCCGTATCCCCATAATAGTAGTAGGAACTGTAAGTCTGTGAGGAGGAAACTACATTGCCCATGGTCTTTAGCAAAGAGTTGGATTTTAGATTTGTTATCATATATAGGTAAACTAGCACAATAAATGTCAAAAGCTAGTAAGTGATTCTGGTATATTCTGAAGCATGAAAGCAATCCAGCTTTATGGCCCTACAGTGGTAAAGGAAGTCTTGCAGAGGACAATTTAGGGGAGTGGGACTCTATAACATAGAGGTCAGAAGCCAGGTTGCTTAAAAAAAAAATGGACCGAAGAGTATAAAGACTGAAATATAGCCCTGTCTGGTTTTAAAGACACAAAGCAAAAACATGCATTTTAAAACCTTAAATATTATTACTGTTGTTAGTAGCATCAGTAGTTGCACTTTGGGTGTGGTACGACCAAAGTGTAGATTCCTTCCTATAAAATGTGTATAATTTAAAATTTTTTTGGGGGGGGGCAGAGAGGTAGGTTGCATTACCAAAACAAAAAACAAAAAGTCTGCACAAAATGAGATCGGATGGACCTATGATTGAACATCAACAAAATTGAAATTGGATGTAATTATCTTTCTCTGTCCATCCATAGCTAGAAGATTTACACCTGTTTAGTTTGGGAGGGAATAAACTGGGGTGGGGGACTCAATAAAATGCTACTGTTGTCACCTTTTGAGGGCAAAACAATGGTGACAGCACTACACATACACCTAGCATAAGAGGGAGAAAAAAGAAAAAGCACTTTTAATGGGGGGAGGACTATATTTTTTTAATAAAAAAATAAATATATTAAAGGTAAGTGTGTGTCCCCCCACACACACAAACATGCGCTGTCTCTTCTCAAAAAAATCTGAAGTGCCCCCCCCCCGGATTTTGCCATTCTTGAATAGGACAGCAAAACTAGGATGACCATTTTACATTCAGTTTCTTACATGTGCATGTACATCATTTTATTACTCAGTGCTTGATGACTGTACCTGAAAGTGTGTACTGACTTAATTGAAAAGCATTGTGGGCTACGTGATGTGACTGTTTTACCTGTTGTGATGGCTCATTCACAAATGCAACCAGTTGCTCAATTAGGACACATTTGCAGCATACATTTAACACATATTTAAACCACGTGGCTTCCCCCAAGGAATCCTGGGAACAATAGTTTACCCCTAACAGGTACACCTCCCAGCACCCATAACAAACTCAGTACCCCAGGATTCCCAGGATTATTTGGGGAGAAACCATGTGGTTTAAATACATGGTATGACTGTGTACTATACAGTGGTACCTCGGGTTAAGAACTTAATTCGTTCCGGAGGTCTGTTCTTAACCTGAAACTGTTCTTAACCTGAAGCACCACTTGAGCTAATGGGGCCTCCTGCTGCCGCTGCACCGCCGGAGCACGATTTCTGTTCTCATCCTGAAACAAAGTTCTTAACCCAAGGTACTGTAGTTTGTTCCTATGCCCACCTTCTGGCAAAAAGGACCCACAAAGCTTAACACAGATACAAAATGCCAGGCAAAAAAATTAAATTGTAAAAAGTTTAAGGGGAAAATACTCTTGTCTTATCAAACCAACAACTGAAAGCCAAATACTTGATTCCTTCTTCCTATGGCAAAGATCAGTTCCCACCCACCCACCCCGCAAATGTCAGGAAGCTATAGTAAATCCTCAAACAGCAGCTCATCCTGGTAAGAGGGGCAAGTGGGAAAGCTTGTCCCTTTGTCATGGACTGGCTGGATACAGAGGAGTAGAAGAAGGCAGCAGCTGGGGAACCCCCAAGGGAGGGCAGCTCAGAGCCAGGGGTTTGGTTCTGGGACAACGATCTATGGTCAGAGGGAGCAGGCTGGGAGCAAGAGGTGGAAGAAGCTGAAAAGGCAACAGGCTTTGTGGTGTCAGAAGCAGCAACAGGGTTTAGTGCAGGGGTCAGCAACCTAAGGCCCACGGGCCACAAGCAACCCACGGGGGTCGTTTAACCAGCCCACGAGCCACCCCCGAACCAAGCCGCCTGCTTGGTGAGTTCCCATGTGCTGCACTAAACCAGCACAGTGCGGTGCAGGGACTTGCTCCCCCGGCCCTGGAAATCATGTCTGCGCAGACGCCGGAAATCGCAGGCACACGTGCTCAAGAGCACAAGCAATCTGGTTCACGGAGGGATCTCCGCTGGAGTAAACTGGTGCAGGCGAGGTAAACCTTGCCAACCCCTGGTTTAGTGGGCAGGAAGAGGCTGTGGCACGGGGTAATCCAGACTCAGAGAGCCAGTGTGGTGTAGTGGTTAAGAGCGGTAGTCTCGTAATCTGGGGAACCAGGTTCGCGTCTCCGCTCCACCACATGCAGCTGCTGGGTGACCTTGGGCCAGTCACACTTCTCTGAAGTGTCTCAGCCCCACTCACCTCACAGAGTGTTTGTTGTGGGGGAGGAAGGGAAAAGAGAATGTTAGCTGCTTTGAGACTCCTTCGGGTAGTGATAAAGCGGGATATCAAATCCAAACTCTTCTTCTTCTTCTTCAAACTCTTCTTCAGAAGCAGGAAAGGACATGGGGCTGGAGACAGAGATGAAGCAGGCTCCTCTCCTTCTGCAACCAGCTCCCCTTCCGCTGCCGCCCCCATCCCCCAAAACGCACAGAGGAATGAAGAAGGTGAAGCAATGAGAGGCAAGACAACAAAGTCTTAGGCTGCTGAGGGAGGATGTGGGAGAGGAGCCTTAGATAGCAGCTGGAAGGAGGGGACCTTCAGTCCTCGCAACTGCTTCATTGTGGCAAGACCTCCTGGGAAGGGAAGGGAAGGGATGTTGTGACCACTAAGACTGAACAGTTTTGTCTCCTTGAATCGAATCAAATCTTTATTACGGTCATAGACCAGCATTGAGGAGGGGGGGTACAGTCATTTAAAATCTGAAAAACGGTTTGAAAAACTAAAAAGAATAACAAGTCTATAAGAATCTAAAGGAAGCAAGGAAAGTCTAAAAGAAGCATTGGGAACATTAGACAGGAGTGGCAGATTGTAAGAGGTTAATATATATAAGACTATAGCTATCAGTCTACAGAGCACTCTGATAGGAGTGCTCATTAATCTAGTTTGTGGCACGGGTCATCGTCCGACGAATTTTGAGCGCTGCTGTGCCGAATCTGGCAACATTGTATGTTGTAGCAGGGTTGGTATCTGAAAGCCGCAAGAAGGTATAGAATTGTCCTGTGAGCCCTGGGTGTTGTTGTTGTTTAGTCGTGTCCGACTCTTTGTGACCCCATGGACCAGAGCACACCAGGCACTCCTGTCTTCCACTGCCTCCCGCAGTTTGGTGAAACTCATGTTGGCAGCTTCAAGAACCCTGGGTACTTATGCAGTAATGGTAAGATGAAGCTAGTATGAATGTCTCTGTAATACAGGCACTATAGAAGCACATGCTCTGTTGTTTCCATATGACCAGAGTCACAGGGGCATTGTCTCTCCGGGTAAGCAATCTTCCTGTATCAGCCTTCAAGGACAGCCCAGGCGAGGGCATGAGATAGAGCCAAGGTAAAGGCCCTCTGGTGCTTAGGGACTTAGCTAGATATGCCATAGGGTAAGCAGAGTACCTGGAGGATTCATTGGCAATAAAAGTTGGAGTCCAGGCTAGATCCAATTGGTGCTCAGTGTCTACTACACATTGTTTTATGAGAGCTTTGGCTTGGTCATAGCCCATGCTGAGTAGAAAGCCTTGAATAAAGAGCTAACTTCACATGACATTTAGTGCCTTCTTTTATTGCTGACCTAGGCATGACTCCAGCTGCTGACAGCTTTGGTGAATCAAACATAGTCTTTCCGCTGCAGCAAGTGGGAGATATGCGAGTGTGAATCAGCCCTGAAAAGGCACGTGAGAGCACACTTCAGATACATCAAGGATGTCCTTTGGATGGAGAGTTAGACCGCAGCACAGTAGGAACAGTCAAGGCTAGTGATGGGCGGTTCTGTCAATTTCAGCTCTCTCTCAACTTCTCATTTATCCGATTTTAAATTCAGTTCCCCACCTTTCTGCAGCAATTTGTGATTAAAAAACAAACTTCATGAAAATCTCTCAGTGTTTTAGTGTGAATTTCTCCTAATAAACACGTTTATGCAGCTTTGACACCATATTTTTGCAAGCAATGTCCCCTAAAATGTGCATGTTTGTAAACATTCTTTAGTTGCAGAAATGCACCCCAAAATTCAGAGAAGTGCAAAATTCAACAGATAGCTGTGTTTTGGTTCTCATACTGTTTTGGAAAGTGTGAATTTGATAAATTCACCTTTATATATGACCTGAATTGAAATTCCCCCCCATCACTAGACAAGACACTATCAGAGGCTCTGTTAGCAACAGCATCGCATGGGAAATGCAGGAGCAGTATCTAGTGGAGAAGGTAGGAGGAACAGCGTACATCACTATTACTCATACTGTAAAGAGTTGCTGTGCTATATGTGCTGAACTTGCTAGTCCAGCTGAATGAGAAATCAACATGAGAACAAGCACAACCCTTGGACGGTGTTTATATGTGATCCTGACCCTGCCTGCACTTCACCACCCTCAAAACTCATGGGGTGGTGGCCAAGAGACTGCTGAAATTATTTTTAGAGATTAAGTGAAAAATAAGCTATTGTTTACTACCACGGGCAGTAGACAGGGGCTGATCCAAAATGTGTGACAGAAACTGCAAATGGACAGTGCAAAAGCAATCAGATGTCTAATTAACAAGGCAACATTAAATAAAAGGTGTGTTGTCTGTCCCAACTGGGAAGCTGAACAATGTCTTGGTGGCCATTGGTCCTGGATTTGCAAGCCAACACCTACACCATTTGCCATGGTAGTGGCATGTAGCATATTCCGTATTGTTTTTCACCTGAAATGATAATACAGGAATGACCAATAACAGGTGTCATGGTGGGGCAGCCGCAGTGCTCACCTGACCTCCAGGCATGTTGCTGCTGCTTACTAGGTAAGGTTAAAAAAAAAGGTAAAGGACACCTGGATGGTTAAGTGACTATGGTGACTATGAGGTCGCAGCGCTCATCTTGCTTTCAGGCTGAGGGAGCTGGCATCTGTCCACAGACAGCTTTCTAGGTCATGTGGCCAGCATGACTATACCGCTTCTGGTGCAATGGAACACCATGATGGAAACCAGAGTGCACAGAAACGTTGCTTACCTTCCCGCCGCAGTGGTACCTATTTATCTACTTGCACTGGTATGCTTTTGAACTGCTAGCTTGGCAGGAGGAGCTGGGACAGAGGAACGGGAGCTCACCCAGTTGTGGGGATTCAAACCTCTGACCTTCTGATCAGCAAGCACAAGGGGCTCAGTAGTTTAGACCACAGTGCCAGAGGAGAGGGGCAAGGGGTGGCAAGGCAGCCAATGCACCAATGGGAGCACCAAATTGGCTCCACTGATGTGTTTGCACCATCCCATCCTCGGTAAGCAGCAGTGACACAACCAACCAGGGGTTAGCTGAATGCCATGTCACCACCACCCCATCCACTGCTGAGGTCAACCAACAAAAGAAAATGTGTATTTTTGGGTGGGAATGCATCCTGGCTTTGTAGTATAAACTTGGTGGCTTCTCCCCCATCTTTCTCCCAGTCATATAGCTGTTCAAGATGCATGATCCTTTGGGGGTTATATGTCTAGTGGTCTTAGGCATGACACAGACAGTGAGACCCAAGGTCAGCCTTAAAGCTCATCTTATCTTATTCTGTGGAAAGAGAATTAACACAGGTCTCCAGGTAGCTGTGCATATTGAAGCTAAGATTGTGCTGATGACCCTTATTTACTTGTTGTAATCTTTTTGGTGATCATGATAATATATGAGGAAATTATGGTTGGGGGTGGGATTTCCCATTCTTGTATTTCTTTTCTTTGTTACAAGTTTATATAACTTATTTGAATCACAACTTTGTAAACATAATATATATGGTTGCATGCCACCCCAATCTCTGAGCTGTGCAAGATTTCAGGGGTTCCAAGCACTTACCCAGAGTTTGTGTTTCCTTTTGGGAATGAGGCACAGCAGAGACAGTGGTATCTTTAAGATATATGGTTTATTTACACACATATAAAACCTGAGCCTGCAATGGAGGCATTCACAGAATTAACACCCCAAAAAGGGTCTTGCTTCTCCCGTAGCTACAGTCTTGGATTCAAATACTGTGCTTTGCCCTTTTTTCCTTTCTAGCCTGCAACTTTACCTCTAGGCGACATTACACACACTTCACTTTAAACTCTGACTTTTGTCTTTTTAACTATCTATTCGCCATCTGGCCCAGAGCCTTTCTTTCTTAATGGCCTGTCACCTTTTCCTTTGTTCTCATTTAATGGCCCTTCGCCCAGGCAATTACCTGAACACAGGAAGCTAGCCTGGCCTGATTAGCTTTTAGCACTTAACTGGATCCAGAAATTTAGAGGTCTGGCACCCCCCAAACACATAACAGTATTTCTCGATCTGAATTTTCACATAGGGAAGGCTGATTCACATATGAACACTCCATTGCTTCATGATAGTTTATAGTATTGAAAACCAATATCATATCTCTAGAAGATACTGAGAACAAATTCACATTGTATGTACATCACTCGATAACATATTGGTCTCAGTCAATGAGCTCGCGCTGAATATGTAAACTTTCTCCATTTCAAGGTATTGTATCTGGGTTGATATGAAGTGAGAGGGGAGTTCTGTTCTGGTTTGTTTGATCGGTAATGGCTGCTTCATATTGCCATCATCAAGTGACAATCATGCATTTATGAACAAAACCTAAGACCTGAAACTTAGAGGCCTATTATAGATATTCGCATTTTGTCAATGGCTTTTGTCACTAAGCTTCGGTTGCTGAGGCAATATAACTCAGGTCTATATTTTAGCAAAGCCTTTGTAGTGCTGGACCTGAGCCTAAGACGACCATGTTCCAGCCCCTCATTGGTGACCAATTGCGAGTAGATGTCTCTCAGTCACTATCTCCCAATTTGTTTCCTACCATATTTGTATTCAAACAAAATAACAGAGCACCTTGGTACACTTGGGGCACATAAATCACAAATAATAATTAGCAAGTTCCCATTTCTGTAATACTGGCAAGTGGCAGAAAATGCAGAAAATACATTTGGAGAGGGTTAAGAAGAGAGTCATAGAGACTGTTGCTTTTGCTGCTTCTTTCGTTGTACTGCTGTACGCAGAGCCTGAAGAATCATATGTTGATTATTGAGGATATTGTAGTTGGTCAAATTTAACAGCTTGTTGAAATTAGCCTCTGAATACTGCAGTGCACCAGTAGCAAATGGGGTAAATACAGTGCTGCTGACATCAACTTGGCCTTCCTCCATCTCACTAGGACTGCGTTCTATACCTATGAAAACAAGATGGAAGGAAATAATGTGTGCTATAATCCATATGATATGCAATTACCTTTTTTGCCATTTTAGTAGAATCAGTAAAATAAGTAGCTCACTTCGCATCGAGATCAAGGAGAAAGACAGGAATTGGGGGGTGGGATGTGTGTGGATAAGCTCAACATCAGGATTTTCAGAAAATGCCACCCCTAAACCTCTGGCACCCTGGATGCTGTTGAGCTATAACTCTCACTATTCTGACCACTGACCATGTTGGCTGGGGCTGGTGGGTCCAAAAATATATGGAGCCCCCCATCCCTGGTCAATAACTTCTAATTTCATTAGAACATTGAACTAAGTTGAGAGGTGGGTGTGTGGGTGTGTAATGCCTCGCAAGAGCAGCCAAGCTTCACATTCTTATCAAGGAGTCAGAGAGGAGAGTATGAGCATATTCATCACTGCCTGTTAATTGCGCAACCACTTCAGTTTCCAGTGAGAAATGGCAAGAAATCTCTGCCCATTTATTACTAGGGTATTTGACACAACCTCATCTTGGTAAAACACACTGTCAGAATGGATGAGATGAGGAAAATCTTGAAGGTAACTGAAATCAATTTGAGGTTGTGATGGTTGGGCAATTGTGTTTATGGTCTATATTTGTATGTAATACAGTGGTACCTCAGGTTAAGTACTTAATTCGTTCCAGAGGTCCATACTTAACCTGAAACTGTTCTTAACCTGAAGCACCACTATAGCTAATGGGGCTTCCCGCTGCCACCGCACAGCCAGAGCACGATTTCTATTCTCATCCTGAAGCAAAGTTCTTAACCCGAGGTACTATTTCTGGGTTAGCGGAGTCTGTAACCTGAAGCGTCTGTAACCTGAAGTGTATATAACCTGAGGTATCACTGTAAAGGGGAGAAGATCTCCATCTGCCACATTCATCTCTGTTTTTAATGCAGCAGTGCAACAAGTGCTGAGTGAATGGGTTGAAGGCTAGAAGCTAGAAGGAAGATTTGGTAACGGAGACTGGGTTAGGGATAAAAGATGATGAGCCAGTGGAACAAAAGAAGACAGATTGAAGTGAAGATGCTACATAGAACCCAGGGTCCATGATCCAAAGAGCCACCATGCAGATGGAGGACAGCACCTCACACACCCAGAGCTGCTCTTTTGTTTCCACTGCAGCACTTACTACTGCCAAAGTGACAACACACTTTTCAAATTGAGCGGTGGCTTTTCACTTGGGCAGCATAAAGCACCATTGTCAAAAAGGAAAAGTCTGGGTATGCATAGAGCATTTTTTGCTCTCTCCTGTACATGTCCTCTCTTTTAATCCCAGCCATTATATATACAGTGTGTGTGTGTGTGTGTGTGTGTGTGTGTGTGTGTGTTTATATGCATGTGTGTGTGTGTGTGTATTGGTGTCAGTCATGAAAATAAGCAGATAAGAAAGTCATGTCGTCTTCAGGAAGACTATTGCTCTTCTTTACTCACCAGGAGCTTTGTATTTTTGGAAGGTATCGCATACCAGGGGAAAATACAGCAATATGGGAGCCTCTGGACTCTCTGCTTTGTCGAAGAGGTAGCATTCCTTGAGATGCTTCCTGTCTTCATCTGTCAGCACAACCTTGGGAAATGGAATGCCCTGCTCCGCATAGTATTTTGTAGCTAGATCCAATGGCTAGAGCATTAAAGATGAACAACATCAGAACCCAAAGAGATATGGTTACAGCTTTCCTTTCTCAAAAGCTAGTAGTTGCACTAGAAGGATGATATGGCACTTATCAGGGATATTTGGGGTATGGGTACTCTTGTCTTGGCATAGGTAGGTGGATCAGTTTTTCTAGCACTATGAGTCTATAAAATGGTGATGATGAAGGAGGACACAATAATAATTGTCCAAGGTGCAGTCTGTCTAGGATGTCCACTGTCCTCTCCCAGGGGCTGTTTCTCTTTTGCTTGTTATCACTCACTTTCAATGAAAATACTGAGGATCAGAAAGCAAAGCCATCTTTCTCCACATTACTTCCCTTGTAAGAAGACTGTGTAAAAATCTGAAGCTAGATCTTTGGTGGGAGGGAGAAATGGGGACCACCTGCCTGCTCCCCAGCATTACTCCATATGACTCAGTCATACATGGAAGAAGAAAAAAAAGAATCCATTTTGGTATCAAATGTGAAACTACACCAAATAACTATATGGCATAGCACAAGTTCTTTTTCAAGCTCTTCCAGTCTTCTGTTAAAATTTGAAGTAAAAAATTAATGAAAAGACGAATGGTTATGGTCAAGTTGCTAAAGATAATAAAAATAATCTTCTCACCAATGTCTGTGATCCTCCACTATAATTTAAATGTAAAATAAGGTCCACTTTCCTCTCTGGCCTCAGAAGCGGTGGGCAGCTGGTATTGATGAAAAAAGCTGTGTCTGTCAGTTCCAAATATTCTGGTGTTTCATTCAACTTGTTGGGGAAATTATCTAGTACAGTATCTGAAAGGCAAATTCTTTAGCATTATATGCAATGTTGCAAAGAAAACTCATATATGTTATTAAAGACCAGGAGGACTCAATTAATTATGTATCATTAACAGGTTAATGATACTACAGTGCAGCCTTAATTTACTTATTCATAGTTTATATACTCCACATAGATGCCTCTTTTGATAACAGGTACCTTTTATACTTTCATTTTTTCCTTCAACTTTTGAAATTTCAGTTGATCCAACAAAGTAATGATAGACCTATCAAGAAAGAAGCTATGTGCCGGAGACCCCAAATTATTTAACTTAGTTTGCCTTTACAGTGGTACCTCGGGTTAAGAACTTAATTCGTTCTGGAGCTCCATTCTTAACCTGTTCTTAACCTGAAACTGTTCTTAACCTGAGGTACCACTTTAGCTAATGGGGCCTCCCGCTGCCGCCGCACGATTTCTGTTCTCATCCTGAAGCAAAGTTCTTAACCTGAGGTACTATTTCTGGGTTAGCGGAGTCCGTAACCTGAAGCATCTGTAACCAAGGTACCACTGTATAGTTCATACTAAATCCTAGCAGATTAAATTCAGAGAAACCAGAATGCATCCTGCTGTAGGATTAGTGGAGAAGGAGAGATAAACATTTTAAATTGTGCTTATTAGTACAGCAAGGTTATCAAAAGCCACTCCTTCCCCCATGCCTTATGATTGTTTTTCTGTTAATACATTTACAAAATATTTGTTTTGAAATGCTTAATAATTTCTTTTTAAAGAATCATTGCATTTACTGTATATCCCACCTTTCCTCCAGGGAACTCAAGGTGGGGTACATAGCTTGCTGCCTCCCCAGTTAATCCCCACAACAAGAGGTTAGGTTGAGAGTGAGTGTCCGGCCCAAGGCCACCCAGTCAACGTCATGGCTGAATGGGGATTTGAACCCTGGTCTCCCAGGTCCTAGTCCAACATTCTAACCACTACACCACTCCCTAGGTTCATCTTTTGAATAACCAAAAAGGATCCCAGGTCACCGAGACTAAAACAACGTGGTTGTGATGCCATTCCTTCAAACCTCCCTTACGTTTCTTCTTTTGCTACTCCAGTTCTTGGAAACAGACAAGCATGAAGTGTTTCTGGAAAGCCTGAACCTCAGAATAATTGTTAATGGGATTATGTATCTGCATAATGTATTCTGGGTGTACAAGAAGGGAGAACAGTCAAGGAAGAAATGAAGATTGACTGGCTGCACAGGTTCCAAACATGCTCTGTTTTAGCATTCCAAATCTAATCTCACTTCTGTTGTATCTGTTTTCAACAAATACTCTCCCTGGAACTGTGAGAATTTCATTTCCCAGAAAGTGGAAGAAGCAACAAAGGGATCATCTATCTTTTACCTGGTTCTCACCAACAGGGAGGAACTTATCAACGAAGTGGAAGTACTGGGAAATTTGGGAGGAAGGGATCATGTCCTATTGGGCTTCATTTTAAGAGGCAAGGGAAAGCTGAGTGTAGTCAGATGTGCACTTTAAGAAAGCTGATTTCAAAAAGCTTAAGGAACTACTGGGTAAGATCCCATGGTTAGGAATACTCAAACAGAAGGGAGTCCAAGATGGATGGGAGTTTCCTAAAGGTGAACCACTGAAGGCACAAATGCAGACAATTCCAATAAGAAAGAAAATTGGGAGGCATCTAAAAAAAATCAGTGTGGCTGCATAAGGAGAACTGAGATTTAAGAAGGGCATTTATTTAAAAATGGAAGAAAGGGGAAATCACAAAGGAATCATATACAAGAGCAGCCAACAGCTGCAGGGAGAAGGTCAGGCAAGCCAAAGCTCAAAATGAGCTCGGGTTTGCAAGAGAGGTTAAAAATAATTAAAAAAGGCTTTCTTTGGCAATGTTAAAAGCAAGAGGTAGAACAAGCTGTCAGGAACGAGTGCCCCAATCCCTGGGACACCCCTAACCATTGCTTGATTAGCAGAGTAGCAGATCTTTGGCAGATGTGTGAGTTCCAAAAAGACACAGAATGCAGATAAATCTTTAGTAGAGGTTTACGGTAAAGGTAAAGGTACCCCTGCCCGTACGGGCCAGTCTTGACAGACTCTAGGGTTGTGCGCCCATCTCACTCTATAGGCCAGGAGCCAGCGCTGTCCGCAGACACTTCCAGGTCACGTGGCCAGCGTGACAAAGCTGCATCTGGTGAGCCAGCGCAGCACACAGAAACGCCGTTTACCTTCCCGCCAGTAAGCGGTCCCTATTTATCTACTTGCACCCGGGGGTGCTTTCGAACTGCTAGGTTGGCAGGCGCTGGGACCGAGCAATGGGAGCGCACCCCGCTGCAGGGATTCAAACCGCCGGCCTTTTGATCGGCAAGCCCTAGGCGCTGAGGTTTTACCCACAGCACCACCCGGCATAAATTTTACAGTTCTTTGCTAGGTCCCTAGCAAGGCTCAACTTAGCTCACTTTAGAGAAAAAGCCAGTTACAGCATAAAAAATAACACTGCATGAATATAAAAAGAAAGTAAGGAATAGAAGTCAGTAGAAGAATGAGAAACTGCTCACTGGGCAGTAGATATACCCTTCCCAGTGACCTTGACACTAAGATAAGACACTAAGATAAGACACAAAACAACAGCTGTGTTTGCTTTCTGCAATTTGGAAAATTATATCCCCACTAGAATGTTCTAGCATATTCCAGCATTTACTGGCAGCTTCTGCCTTCCTAAAACTTAATACCTTGACACAAGCAAGTATTAGTTCTTCTGCGTGGAGAAGACAAAGAAATGCTGTTAGGTGGCAGAGAGAAGACAGAACTGCTCAACACCTACTTTGCCTCTGCCTTCACTCAAAAGGAAAGCAGGGCCCAAACCGGTGATAACAGAATAAACAATGCAAGAAAAGCGCTGAAGATGAAGCAAGCTTGTTTTCACCTACTCCAGAGGCTAGGATAGGGTTACCAGACGTCTCCAGATTTGCAAATCTGTCCCAGGGAAACATGGCAGCAGCAGCCTCAGCAGCCCAGAGCCAGCCTGTTAGCGCTGCTCGTTGCCATGGCACCCGCCATTTTTCCTTCACCACGGCAGCGAGCTTCTCCTGAAGCCAGCCAGACCCAACTGCACTACCAGGCTGGCCCCTCCTGGGCAATGGCCAGCCGCCCATGACTCCCGAGCCTCCCCTGATCTGTCAAAACAAAGGGGGGAGGGGGAGGAGATCGGGGAAGGCTTGGGAGTCACGGGCAGGTGGCGCGCCATTGCCCAGTTTTTTTAAAAAAAACTGCGCATTTATGTTTCACAGGGTGTGAAAGAGGGGCTTTGCACCTTTATACAATATGCATGTGTGCTTGGGCCCAGGGTGTTTTGCCTCACCATCCCCACTACTGACTCCCTGTTGCTACTCAGCTTTAAAAGGGGGGGGGGAGTGTCCCCGGATTCATTGAAAAAAATTCTGGTAACCATAGCGCTAGGACCCAAACCGATGGCTTCAAGTTACAAGAAAGGAGATTCCAAATAAACATCAGAAAGAACTTTCTGACAGTAAGAGCTGTTCAACAGTGGAATGGACTCCCTTGGGAGGTTGTAGAGTCTCCTTCATTTTTAAGCAGAGCTTCTATGGCCATCTGTCATGAGTGCTTTAGTTGAGATTCCTGCATTGAGGGAGTTGGATGCCCTCAAGATCCCTTCCAACTCTACAATTCTGTGATTCTGTGAAGAGGATGTGGCCCTTGATCAGGGAACGTTTGTGCACCAAGGCATATGCCCAGCACCATCTTGAGGCTATTTCTGCCCTGCCACCACTACTGGGCAAAGAGGCTGATTAACTGAAATGTGTATGGAAAAAGAAGTGGAGGCTAACTTGGGAGCTGGCAACTGTTGACCAAGGAGGCAGAGGATTAGCTGTTTCTCCTCAACTGAGAAGCATGTGACATCCAGGTGTATGCTGTGATCCTCTTCTGTGGGGAAAGGATCATAAGACATATCCAAAACAAAAGAAAAGAGAGAGGGGAGAAGAGATCTGAGTAAATGAGTTCAAGGGAATTACCTTTCCACATTGAAAACCTGTCATTCTCCAAGTATTTATCGTTGACTTGGAGGCCCCTCATGAAATTGCCATATTCTGCAACAATTGGCCGCATTGTTACAACATCTCTAAGCACATCGGTGAGGCTTCCGCTGGGGGTGAAGAGGCGTGTTGGCTGTACATCTGGCCGGCGAGGCATGCTGGGCAGAGTACCATCTTCTGTGGAACACATGACAATTTTGTTTAGATCCCTTACTCAGAATGCACCTTGATAGTACCAATACAGCTACTGCTGCTACTAGGGGGAGCAGTTGGCACTGTGGTCTAAAACCACTGAGCCTCTTGGGATTGCTAATCAGAAGGTTGGCGGTTTGAGTGCCCACAATGGGGTGAGTCCCCATTGCTCTGTCCCAGCTTCTGCCAACCTAGCAGTTCAAAAGCACACCAGTGCAAGTAGATAAATAGGTACCACTGCGACAGGAAGGTAAATGGTGTTTCTGTGCACTCCCTCGGCCTGAAAGCAAGCAAGATGAGCGCTGCAACCCCATAGTTGCCTTTGATCGGACTTAATCATCCAGGGGTCCTTTACCTTTTTACCTTTTAACTGCTGCTACTATTAACAGTAACAATACTTAAGATTTTAAAGGGCATCTTTTTGCTGTGAGTGTTTAAAATCAGATAGGGCTATATTGTAGCCTGTTTACTCTTCAATCCATTTTTAAGCAACCTCTTACAGTCCCACTCCCCTAAATTATCCTCTGCTTTAATGATCCAAAATTGGCCGAAATAATTTACTAGCTTTGGGCATTTAACTATAAATCATGGCATTTAACTATAAATTATAGCAAATCTAAAGGGACGCGGGTGGCGCTGTGGGTAAAACCTCAGTGCCTAGGACTGGCCGATCGTATGGTCGGCGGTTCGAATCCCCACGGCGGGGTGAGCTCCCATCGTTCGGTCCCAGCTCCTGCCCACCTAGCAGTTCGAAAGCACCCCTAAGTGCAAGTAGATAAATAGGTACCGCTTTATAGCGGGAAGGTAAACGGCGTTTCCGTGTGCTGCGCTGGTGCTGGCTCGCCAGAGCAGCTTCGTCACGCTGGCCACGTGACCCGGAAGTGTCTTCGGACAGCGCTGGCTCCTGGCCTCTTAAGCTAGATGAGCACGCAACCCCAGAGTCAGTCACGACTGGCCCGTACGGGCAGGGGTACCTTTACCTTTACTAATAGCAAATCTAAGATCCAACTGTTTGCTAAAGACCACGGGAAATGTAGTTTCCTCCTCACAGACCGACAATTCCCAGTACCCTTAACAAACTACTGTTTCCAGGGGTGCCAACATGAATAAAATATTGCAAGGGGCAGGTAAGCCCCACCCTGCATAATCAATCACATGACAGGGCTCACCTGTACCATTTGAAGGGCAATGGTCATTAACTTTGTGGGGGCTCGGTCCCCTCAAATATTTTATTGGGGAGGGCGAAGGGACCTTGGCACCTAGGAGTTGCCTCCTATCACAGTCCCTAAGATTCCTTGAGAGGAAGCTGTGCACTTTAATGTGCATTGCATGCACCTTAAATGTACAATGTGGATCTTCCCAGAATGTCTTACTTGGAAGAAAGATATCTTTATTTAAGCAGGTAAAAGCACAGGCTCAGCAGTAGACACAGTGCTCAAGAGTCACAATTCCAGTGTTCAGAAACAGGTGTCCCAGTGAACTTTCCCACCCCCTCCAAGCTTTTAAAAGGAGATATGGAGTGGTCATTTGAGACTCTCTAGCCTTGTGGGGTGGTTGTATCTGTTCCCATCTGTGAAGGTAGTGCCCGGTTATAGGCATCAAGACTGCAGCCTCCTGTTCAGGCTCCTGCCATAGCTGATCAAAGTCTTCCCCAGTCTCCGCTAAGGCTTTCTGCTCTGCAGGAAGGTCAGAAAGGGGGAGCCAGCATCCTGCTCTCCCTTCCAAAGTGACTGAAGTGGAAAGGAGAGATTCGCCCCCCCTCCAACCCATGTTCCACAAATTCAGCTCTTTCCCTGTTTCTGCTTCCTCCATCAGAGCCGGCCAACCCAAGCTTGATCCCAACAGTGCTGCGTGCCTCATGACAGAGCCCAAGGTACATTAGCCAAAGAAGAAATGATGTTCAACTGACCAATATCCACCACTCTGTCTCTTGTCCACCTGTGCCAGAAGTCTTCTGAACAGTCAGCTAAATACAATGCATCCAGCAAACTCTGGGAATATATATTACTCAACATGCCTGAGAAGCATAGAAAATGCAAAAGTAAAATAAAAACCATTTGATCTCAGAGCTTTGATGTAATTTCTAGATGATGGTAAAGAGGGTGTTGCATTTGTTTCTTTCATTTATTGTTTTGAAATGGATATCATGTTCACTAATATTTTACTAATTACTGTGTTTACTATCTCCTGTCCTCAGTGCTATTTTTCTAGGGGGAAAAGGTGCCAGAATTCACCACAAATGCCTCCCTTATTCTTTTATAATGGCAATGGTGCCCATCTGAGAGGTGCCAGAACTGAAAAAAGCCTGTAGTGCAGTTCTCATTCCCATCAGTAATGTGTGAAAGATGAGTATATAGTACAAAAAAAAAACCATGTGAGTGGTAAGGACTCAATTTCAAAATACAGGGAACTAAAACAATATAGATTTTGTTGGTATCTCTGTTCAGGTCTTCAAAGACCACCTCTCTCCATATGACTTTGTGTTCAGCATCTGAGGCCCTTCTTCGTGTGCCTCCTCCACAAGAGGCCCAGGAGGTGGCAACACAAGAACAGGCCTTCTCTGCAGTGGCTCCCCATCTGTGGAATGCTCTCCCCAGGGAGGTTCAGCTGGCACCTTCATTATACACCTTTAGGTGCCAGGCGAAAATGTTCCTCTTTAACCAGGCCTTTGGCTGATTAACATTTTATACCTCTATTAAATGTATTTGTGGGAGAGAGGTTATTTCTTTGCAGGGTTTTTTGTTCTTGTTTTTATCTTGTGCTTTTATACTGCATATTGTATTTTGTGCTTTTATATTGTATTTTTATGTTGTGTACCACCCTGAGATCTGTGGATGAAGGGCTGTATTCAAATTTCATAAATAATAATAAGTCACCTTGCATGTAACAGAGCTCAGATTCCGGCAGCTTCTTTGTCAAGTGGCCCATGTAGAACTGACTTCCAAAATGTTCCACATTAATGAAAGCTCCATATTTCAAGAAGCCTGCTTCATAGGGAGTAAATTCCACCCACTCTGCAAACAACCATATAAAAATATTTGTTAAGTACAGTATAATTATTGTGAAAGACAGGTAAGAAATCTAATAAATGAATGATGTAATAATTACACTGTAGGGAATACTGCAATAAAATCTGCATTCTACCTCTCTGTGATAATCATAATTAACCGTTTCAATGGATTTGGAAATCACAACTCCCCATCCCTCTTACAGAAACTCTACACCTATCTGCCAATCACCCATTCCCACCACCCTTCTGAGTAATACCCCTCCCCACCCTCTCACTGGTGACTTCTGTTTCAGTGTATCTGAAGAAGTGTGCATGCACACGAAAGCTTATACCCAGAACAAACTTAGTTGGTCTCTAAGGTGCTACTGGACAATTTTTTTAATATTTTTTTATATCTCTCTAACAGCATTCATGCAGCAACTGCTCCACATGGCAGCCATAATGTGTTACTACACCCTCCTAAATGGGTCACCTTCATCTGTAGCTGACAGTGAAGTGGAAACTCTCTGTGCAACAAGAGTAATTTACAAAGGAAGCCAGTACTCGGAGCTATCACTGTATGGGAGCACTTTCCATGCGATTATTGTTTCAAGTATAGAGCAGGCCTAAAAGGAGGGCGAATGAGTACTCAAGAGCACTCAATGTGGTACCAAAGACTGACAGGACTTAATTGCTCAAGATCCAAGAATTCTCTTAGGATTTTGAAACAAAGGTATAATTCTGTATAAAAATGTACACAACACACAATCTGTGCTGCACCACAGCCAGGAGATTTAGTATCTATTAGTGGGGAAATGTCAACCAATAGTCTTCAACTGGCCCCCTGCCTTTGAAGCAAGCTCAAATAATTTTGTCCCTACCTTTAAAATCTAGAGTGCTGTATCTTTCTTTGACATTGAGAGCAAGGTAGATGGGAAGTGGGTTCTGACCCAGATTCACAGCCTGTCGTTGATCTGAGAGCTTGTGATGATTGGGCTGTTTGGGAAAAACAGCAGTCAGCAGAAGAGACAATGACCCAAATAAATTTCACAAAGAACCTGTCATGGCATCCTCATCTTGGGTCAGACCCAGACTTTGGTCCTTACCTATGAGAGGCAATGTTTGCCAATTCCTCCTTCCCAGTGCAGTTGCCAGTACCACCTCGCACACTACTGTTGGGAGATCTTGTTATGGATGCTTTAGCTGAGATGCCTGCATTGCAGGGGATTGGACTAGATGACTCTTGGGTTCCCTACAACTTTACAATTCTATGATTTCCTGACCTCTGCTCTCCAAGCATACCCCATAAATCTGTTCTGGGTCCCCCACAACCTTCCAGATCAAATGCATGGGGCACACAGGAGACATACAGAGAGAGGACAGAAAAGCTCCATTGACCAGCTAAATCTCCTTGTGATGGTAAAAATGGTTCAATGGATACTGCCCAATATTTTAATATATTTAGATACAAGCTTGTGTTGTTGTTTCCATCCCAACTGTTGACAACAGGTGTGCTATCAATGTAAATTAAAGAAATAATAGCAAACACCCTTTCCCCTTTCTGTGCTTAATTTGTTTCATATTTCCCCCATATGCCAGCCCACATTATGCTTCCCACCCACCCCCAAAAAGTATTAATGCAATACCTCATCATTAAACATGGATTCAATAATGAGCCCCCAGAGATCTATAAAAGATAGCTTATATCCATCTTGGTGCCTCTGACAGATTTCCTTTTCATAGTATGTTAAGTGCCTCCGAGAAAAACAGGAAAGCTTGTTTTTCATGACATGTTTCCGAGCATCACTGATATGCGCTTCCAAATCTTTTTGAGACCAATTGGCATCTTCATATAAATTTATCATGGTCCTAAGGAAAATAAATTTTAAAAAGAGAAAAAAGGAGAAGCTAAAATTGAAATTGGCCACAGACTTTGGGCAAATACAAATGGTCACTTATCAACCGGCAGCTAATCGTGTTAGGGGTGCTCAAGGAATTTTTTGCATCCACGTTCTAAGGCAAACTCACCTGATCTGCACCCCATGGACTATTGTGCAGATCAGAATGTGGCCTTCCTTAGAAAGCTAATTGCTTGAGGTGGTCTGGGGGTGCTTTTTAAAAAAGGCACAACTTTTGAAAAAGGTAATAATAGCTACTCCAAGCAGTTGGAAAGCACAGCATCTGCCCCTGTGCACATTGAAAATGAGACTGTAAATGCCCCTGGAGCAATGGGACACAAGGACATCCCATTTCTCTCAAGGACACATATTGGTCCCAGAGACATTTGCTCTCAGGAGTGTTTGCAGCCCCATTTTCAATCCACTCAGAGGAAGCCATGCTGTCACCTGTTTTAAAAAGAAGAAAATAAATGTCAAAAGGCAGGCCTAGGGCCACCCCACAACTGTCTGTATGTCTTTTTTCTGGGTTAGAATGTTCTTCAGAGTTCTTATGGGGGCAGAAATGCAAATTAAAACAGGAATGGAAACAGAACAGAATTAAAATGAATACATATGAAAGTGAATTAGACTGAACTTTCTATCCCAAACTCGGCCCTCCAGCTGTTTTGGGACTACAAATCCCATCATCCCTGACTACTGGTCATGTTAGCTAGGGATGATGGGAGTTGAAGTCCAAAAACATCTGGAGGGCCAAATTTGGGGATGCCTGGTCTATCCCTAGTTGATGTGACTATTCAATGAGCAACTCATCTGGAACATCCTGCCAATCATTTAGGAGCATTTTATCACACATCTGCACCCAATCAACAATCCAGGGAAGCAAAGGACCAGTTAAATTATCCTCACCAATTTTCATAATAAGTTTCCACATCACTTTCATATATAAAACAAGTTTTCATTGAAATACTGTTTGGTTCAAAGGATTTTGCAAATCTGATGTAAACAGCAACGAAGGTCATGTTACCCACCCTCTTCTCAAAAAATAATAATAATCTGACTCTTAAGTGATTTGAAAGTTGCTAAAGATTCCTAAACAATGTAAGTTGTTGTTGCTTAAGTCGGAAGCTTTTCAAAAGGGTTGCCTATGGTCATATCAAGACTAGGAAACTGTTGCATTGCAGTTTAGTCTCAGCATCTGACAATGTTTGAAATGCATATATACAGTACTTCATTTCCCTAGAACTACAGACTCAGTTTTTTATTTATGTTTTTCTAATCACACTGAGTATATTTTCCATTAATTAATAAATCTGAAAAATGGGAGGTCGTTGTGGTGACAAGGCTTGGTTCCATTGAATCAAGACCATGAAGTCACCAGGCTTATTTTGTGCTTTAAAAAAAAATCCTTGGTAAAATTGCACAAATTCGGCATAAATAATTTTTATTTTATTTTGGTTTTATAAAGTGACTGTTATGCTAAACAAAGGAGGAGTGGCAGGGGCTATCCGGGGGAGATACAGAAAGGTTTGCTTCTATTTCATGTGGTACAAAGTTTTCCATGGATGTTGAATGCTAAACAACAACTGAAGGGATACACATAAAATGTGCCGTCACCTCTTGTGATTACACCATGGCAGAAGGTTGTAAGGAAATTCTGCAGGTCTGGATACATCCCTAATAGTTTTGCTCCATGTTCTCCTTACCATGTTGTGCCAGATAAACCAGCGGTGTATGAAATACAGTCTAAGAGATTCAGCTTCTGGAGAGCTAATAGGCTGCCGTACATCGCAGTCATGGATCTTACGCCACCTGCTGTTGTCATCACAGCCACAATGGGAACCTGAATAAATTTGAGAGCAGTTATTCACAAATTTGCAGAAGTGGGAAGATTGAAGGACTGAGCAGAATCACAAACATTTTTTTTTTCCACAAAAAAGCTTAATCACATATCCGAAAACCTCATCAGGGATGGAAGGTTCTATCAATTTCAGTTCCTCTAACTTTCCTCAGTCTTAAATTGAGTTCACTACATTTCCATTTATCTATATATTTAAATAAAATGTTCTCACAATATTCGCCAGCATTTTAGTACACATCTTTATATGCAATTTTGCCAAAGATACACAGTTTTTGTTGAAGAACTGCATCACAAAATGAGGAGAAATGTGGATCTTGGTTTTGGTTCTGGTACCTTGGCTATGGAATGCCCTCCCCATTTCCATTTGCTGAGCACCATGCTTCATTTTGGTCTTTAGTGAGGGGGCATCAAAATGGAAGGTGCAGGAACTGCTGCTGCTTGGGCTGCCTCCTTAAGTTGTCTGTTTCCCAGCTTGCTCACATGAAAGCATAGGTGAGTTGGGGGAGATGGCAACAGCTGTGGAGCATTACACAGATGCTGACAGCGTCCCCAAAACGCAGTTACAGATAGGTAGCCGTGTTGGTCTGCCATAGTCAAAACAAAAAAAATTCCTTCCAGTAGCACCTTAAAGACCAACTAAGTTAGTTCTTGGTATGAGCTTTCGTGTGCATGCACACTTCTTGCACACGAAAGCTCATACCAAGAACTAACTTAGTTGGTCTTTAAGGTGCTACTGGAAGGAAATTTTTTTGTTTTTTCCCAAAACGCAGGGCACTGAAGTGTTGAAGTGAGGGTCCTAGGAAATTAATGAGTGAACAGAAGCTGAAGGAGTAAAAAGGACAAGCCAATACTATTACGGAAGGAAGGAGAGAGAGAAAAAGTGAAGGCAGAAGGATAAGTGGGTCGGCTGCAAGCACAGCCAGAGCGAAGAATGATTAAGAGCAATTCTGGGTTGTTCAGAGTTATGCCAAACCAGGAAGCAAACACTGTACAATACCATAGGCTGGTGAAGAGAACCAATACACTACAGGGGGGAAACCACATGGTGTAGGTAGGCAGGAAAGCTCTACATTATGGGATATGAGATAGAAAATGTGTCCTGTGGTGAAAAGGATTTCCAAGAGCTAGTGGTACAGGTCCCCCCAGGTAGTCCTGGGACTCTCAGGATCCTTGGGACCTAAAGAAGATGATTTCTGACAATGGTGAATACAGTTCAAGATAGGCAAGTGTATAATGATGCACACCAGGGCAAACAAATCTTAACAGAATCATTTATCAACTTCTGCTCACACAATCTAGGCTTCTCACTCTTTTTCTGTCTCCATACACCTCCCCACAGTGTGGGGAGCTTTAGACTTCCAGAGCTCTCCCTTCAGGGCCCAACTCTCCACACATCCTCCTCCCACTAGGGATTAACTTTAAAGATGTGTACGACAAACAATTATTTTATGCTACAATAGTATACATGAATGTGTAAGATATTATGCATGAATTAGACCATATGAAATAGACCTTCTTGGTAGTGGCGCCCGCTCTGTGGAAAGCCCTCCCATCAGATGTCGAGGAAATAAAAACTATCTTGACATTTAGAAGACATCTGAAGGCAGCCCTGTTTAGGGAAGTTTTTAATGACTGATGTTTTAATGTACTTTTAATCTTTGTTGGAAGCTGCCCAGAGTGGCTGGGGAAACTCAGCCAGATGGGTGGGGTATAAATAAATTATTATTATTATTATGCATGGATGAACATGTGGCATGGACATATGGTATATGAATCCCTTTGCCACCATTTTCTCTGCTCATCTTACATTGTGGCAGACATCATACCTCATCATCCTGCAGATCATCTTGAAGATTAAGAGCATTTTTCAAAGCAGCAGCAACGTATTTCTTCCGCTTACAAATGAAGTCCTGCTCCTCTGGGCATACATCAAATCCCAAGCGCATGTCTAGGTCATTCTGGCTAAATGATACAAACTCATATCATAAACCTGAGCAGCTAAATAAACATAATATATGCATTATGATTTGAAGAAATTCCAGCACTCCAATGTTTGCTGTCAACAATTTGTATTTGGTACTATTTGACATGTAAAGGTATGCAGTATTTAACAGCAGTTGATAAAGAACTTGGAACAATATTTCACATTTGATTGGTGAGTTTATAAAATTTCATATTTGGAAACTGCCAAAGTTGAAAACAATGACGAGCTGCCAACCAGTTTAAAGAATCTAGAAGGTGGAAGTAAAAATCCTAGATTCAAATCTGAGTTTATTTTTGTTTATTTTAAAAAATCTGTTCAAAATCCAAATGACAAAAAGAAATTGTGTCAAATTTTGAAAAATTGTCACTGCTCTAGCTTGAAACATCAGAAGTTGAACCCATGCCTTCCCCCATTCCTACACAAAGTGCTTTAGCACTACATGCATACCTGTAAAAGCCAAGTAGAGAAGGATTTCAGAAGGGAAGGTTACTTTTAAAGCAATTTCAGAAAGCTGCAAATTCTGTTAAATTTTAGACACACACAAACACGGCAAAGATTGAACTGCAAAGTCGCTGCAAGGAGAAAAATGCTTACCAGTTTTCTGCTGTCACAAATACATTATATGCTTTGTCCTATAATAAAAATAAAAAAGTTATGATTTCCATAATCTTCAAAAGAATTTTGTTTGTTCTCCTCCTTTATTAGTCCAACCTGATGATCATAATAAATAATAAGTTGAACCATCCTAACGTGATGTCTTGCAATTCATTGCTCTCAGACTCCATCAGTTCAGTTTACACAAGGGAAGTATGCTTTACAAAATGCATATACAGTGGTACCTCGGGTTACATACGCTTCAGGTTACATACCCTTCAGGTTACAGACTCTGCTAACCCAGAAATAGTGCTTCAGGTTAAGAACTTTGCTTCAGGATGAGAACAGAAATCGTGCTCCGGCGGCGCGGCAGCAGCAGGAGGCACCATTAGCTAAAGTGGTGCTTCAGCTTAAGAACAGTTTCAGGTTAAGAACGGACCTCCGGAACGAATTAAGTACTTAACCCGAGGTACCACTGTAACAGTAACTTACAACATTCATGCAACAGACCATTCAGGCAGTTAAGTTCAGGTTATGAAGAATAAGTCCACAGATGCAGGTTCAGTGCTTATCCATTCTCTGAGCTGTTTCAGATTTCAAACCTGTAACACCCACAATGTCCATCTCTGTGTATCTGCTGCACCTTTGTACACTGCATTTTGCCCCTATCTCAGAACTACTTTCAAGCTTACACTGGCTCCCTGCACGCAAAATGGCTGCTTCATTCATTTCAACAGAAGGCCAAATGTGCATGCAAATTATTTCAGACCAATGGATCAACTCTCTCTATTAAAAATAATGGGGAGTCCTATGCATACAAAAGGTTTGAGCACATACAGATCCCACCACTGGAAGAATCAACGGTCAGCTACAATCCAGACAAGCAAATTACTAAACCACCTTTTCTCCATTTACAGGTAGGTAGCTGTGTTGGTCTGCCGTAGTCAGAACAAAATAAAAAAATTCCCTCCAGTAGCACCTTAGAGACCAACTAAGTTTGTTATTGGTATGGGCTTTCGTGTGCATGCACATTTCTTCAACCTTCCTGACCAGGTGCTCTCCAGATGTTCTGGACTACAACCTGCATAGAAAGCAAAATAAAATTGTTTGCAATCAGGACTCACGTTTGATATTTCCACTCTCTCTCCTATGCGAAGCTGATTCAAGGGCAAAGTTAGGGAGTTCGTGTGCCCTTTATCTGAACACTGAAGGAGGAAAAACAAATGGTCACAACACAATATGTTTTTAAAACCAAAAGGCATATTGCTTACCTAAAAGTTGCCTGTCTCCTACTGCAATGACTAGAGAGCAGAATTACTAGTAATGGATATATTGTGTAAACAGCACAAATTAAATTACATAATTCTGTGCAGAATTTCCCCATTTGCATCATTTTTTCCTATTCTTATTCTTATTGGAATACCTTTTTATTGGATTTCATAAACAAGAATCATAGGAATAATGAATGACACATATAAATAGACCAAGTTTTTGCATGTCATTTGTGTATCACAAAAATAGCATATTAAATTTGCAGTAATATCTACAGCATATGGTTCATTATTAGTGCTCAATGTTTAAGATCTAAGTTCATGAATTTGTTTAAACAAAAACAAAGGGGAAACATGTCAACAGTAGTTTATTTGTTAATCTCTCAAGGAGGGATATTTCCAAAACTGTTTTGTACCAATTGTCTAATGTTGTGCCAGAAAGGTCTTTCCAGTGTCTGGTTATGTTGCTTACTAATAAATAAATAAATGGCTTACTAATTCTTTATTATGTAAATCCAGATTGCTGCCTTGAAATATATTTAATAAAGCTCATTCTGGTTTGACTTCCAATTGTTTTATTGATTTCTTTAAATATCAAATTCCAAAAAGGCTGGGTTTTTGTACATTCCCACCACATGTGGAGATTTCATTCATTCATTCATTCATTCATTCATTCATTCATTTTGTATACCATCCTTTGTAGATCTCAGGACAGTTCACAGCATAAAAATACAAGCCCCACCAGCAATGTGGTGAGGTGCCAGAATGCCCCTTCCGATCGTCAGGAGGAGGGGGGGTTGTGGGATCACGACCCCGCCCATACTCGCTCTCGCGAGGCTGGCGCCAGCCTCGCAGGAGACAGGGATTCCCCCAATTAGCATACCCTGTGGCGCCAGCCAATCGGCTGGCGGCAGGGGTGGGCCTTCGTAAGGCCACTTAAGGTCAGGGCAGCCCTTGGCTCGCCCCTTTCTTCCCTGGAGACGACGCGGTTTCCCACCCACCCGCCCTTTAGGTTTTGCCACTGACCTTGCTATGGGCTTCGGCTGGTCGCCGCAAGGGGCCTGGTAGGAGTTTTTCCATTTGGCTAATTGGCTGGTTTTGTGAGCCACTTGGTTTTTTCGCCTACCTCGTAGCAAATCGTCACAACTCCCTCGGTTTTGGCGGTAGGCATTGGCCAGGGTATTGTCATGCAGATGAGGTTGGGGGGGAGGAACGCCATCACCTCCCCCAATGCTTGAAGGGTAGTTCGTTAAAGGACTCCGAGGGGCGACGCCTCGTCCGAAACCTACGGAGGCTAGGGCCTAAAGCGCGCCCCCGAGCAGTAACCCCTCGGGGAGCGCCTAGGGATATGCATCTCGGGTGGCTCCCCCTGTTGGTGTTTAACCCTTCCCGGTCAGACCGGATAGTCGGTTAGGGCCAATGCCTAAAGCCAATACCCTTCTTTCCTGTAATCAATAAAGTTGTGGCCATTTTCGCCCATTAACCTAAAACTCTGTGTCCGTTGTCTTCATTTATTCCACCTGTGGGGGGGGAGGGAATAGCCACACAATGAATCATTGCCAGCTTCCTGGGGGGTTATCGTTTGTTTTTATTAGAGATAATAGGGCCCAGATGTATTTAAGATTTTACTAAATATTCATAACTAAGTCCCATCAAAAGCAATAGGACAACTAACTTCTATTCGTTTTAATGGGTCACGACTAGGGATGGATGAATTTGTCAATATCATTTTCTCTTTGTTTCTCACTATTCCCATATTTAGTTCAGTTCTCAATAGTTCACCAGTCTGCATTTTTAAAATAGCATGTTAGTGAATTTTTGCCTAATATACACATTTTTGCAAAACCATTTCCCCCTAATATAATGCCTTTTTCTATATTGTTTTCACAAATATATGCATTTGTCTGCACATCTTACCCTTGCAGATGCATTCTTGGTACGCATTACTTGACTGGAAAACTGCACTGCAAAATTCAGAGAAGCACACATTTTGCAGTATGACTGTGTTTTGGTTTGTGTACTATTTCAGAAACCACAAATTAAGTGGATTCCTTAAACGCAAACTGAACTGAATTTCTCTTCCATCTCTATGATCAAGTGTAACTGATCATTAAATTTTGCATTGACTGATAAGCAATTGATATGGGAGCACCTGATTCTAGGTCCTTTAAACCTAGCTCGCTGCATTCCAAACATCTGAATGTGTGACGCCTGCACAGGGAATCTCTTAAGTACAGTAGAATGGAACATGCTATCCTTAAAAGGCCAGCTTTTGCATTTCCTTGTTTGTTTTAAACCAACTACTATGGCCTCATTATGACTGCATAAAACTAACTACGAATACGTAACCTGGAGGTGACATTTTTGCCAGATACAGAGCTGGGCATTGCAGGATAGGGTGCAGCTTCCATGTTTGGTGGGGCATTCACTATTGTGCCCACCTCCCTTTCTATTTCCCATAGCTTCTGTTGCCTCTCTCCTAATTTCAGTTTGTGGTTTCTAATGTCATTCATAACTTCCCCATGCCCCTAGTCCTTGTAAAAAAATTCCACATTCCTTAGAAAAACCAAATTGTAAAAGCAGAACTAAATTGTGAAACAAACAAAGAGTATGCAATTTGCTTGACTTGTGCTTAGTATTCTGGCCAGCACAGCCTGAAGATTTTATTGATGGTGTTCAGCTTGGCATTTGAAATGGGTGACCACTACTTACACAAATGCAGCATTTCTTTGGGAATTCCACTTCCAGGTGTGGGTTACAGTACTTGACATAGTGGAACACTGTGGAGTTTGGTGGGGCATATCTAGAACCATCGCCCAGTAAAATGCTCTGAGTATCTTCAAGGGATCCTTTCAATGTAAATGTGAATTCTTCTCCTGAGTGCAGAGCAGAGAACACAAAAGAACTTCAGTATTAAAGTACACAGAAGCAGTGCTTTTTCTCTTTAAAAAAATGCTTAGGGGTACTCTCATTTTCCTACTCATATTGAAATACTGCCCCCAATGAGGCCAAACTTAGATTCACAAAATGTTGAGGGGTTTGCGTACCTCTGCGTACCCCCAGAAGAAAGCACTGAACAGAAGTACATCTTTATTTATAATATTTGTAACCCCTCCCACCAGGGCAGCATACCTGTGCCTATCCTAGTTTCTCCTTACAACAGAGCTAGGCCAAGTCAAGAGACAGCAACTTGCTGAAAGCCACCCAGCCTGCCAAGAAGTGTTTGAAGAGCTGGGGTGGGGGTGGGGTTTTCATGGGGAGAAAGCTGCACAATGATGACCATAATACCTTCTTCCCCATTGCAACTGCAGGGGAAGAATCAGTCCATGATATGGAGATGGAGTTTAAAGCTGGATCCAAGTATACTGAGTCCTTATTCAACGAACCTGATACTAATTTCAATCCTGGCTGCACTGAAGTCCTCTGTGTGCTTGATAGCTAGCTAGGTAAAAGAATTAATAATCTTACTTCTATCTTTTTTCTTCTTTTCTCTTCCATAAACCTCTACTTTTAGACAGCCAAGTTCCCGAGACTGCAAGGTAAAAGACAGCAACTGCAGACCTCCAACATTTCATATAAAAAATAGGGTAACATTTGTCAGCATACACCTCTATTCTCACACCAGATGCCCTGGCAGTGTCCTTTATTACAAACTGTTGAAGGCTCTTAGCTCTTTACAGGTGTTATAATTAGGGCAATATAGTTCCTTTCCAAGTCCTGGAAAACTACAGTTTGAAGTGGAGATATTGTTCTATCCTCGGAGGCTCCTCACTGTCATGACCCCAGAGTCCAGCAGTAACGAAGACACCAAGTCTGGGGCAACCCAGTCAAATGGGCCAGGTACAAATAATAAAATCATTATTATTAATAATACAGAGTCACCACCAAACTAGGTTCCTGACTCTGAGTCTGATGCTAGTGATCAGACGACTACTGAACTGGCAAACGGGAGCCCCCTAAAGCAGCTCCCATAGCACTGAGGCCCATAGAGTCAGAGCCAGGATGCTACAGAACAGGGTTGGGGAACCTCCGGCCCACAGGTCGATCTTGGCCCCCAAGGGGGTCCAATTTGGCCCACACGGCAATTTTCCTTAAACCACACCCACTCATTACATCAGTTAATTGGTGAGAGTACAGGCTTCAAGAGACATCTCCCCTAGGCAGATAATATTTCCAAAAGGCACCCTTTCAGGTGATCAGGAACAGAGGAAAATTGTCTTTTGGATGAATTGTCTGTGCATAGAACTCATACAGCTGTCTGAGAGCAAAAGGGAGGCCATCACACAGGTCAGCAAATGTGTTGGCCTCTCACGACATTCAAAATTGGTGCCCACTTCACGCTGCCTAGTGGTAGGATCGGCCATCCTGGGCAAGGAAGTATTTACTTATTTATTTCAAACACCCACCTTTCCATATCAAACTTCAGAAATAAGAGGTATAATAGGTATGAAGACAAAAGAACGTACCACCAGTACTCCATTTGTAGCAAGGCTTTCAGGAAAATCTGGCCTGATTAAAAGAAAGAAAATTTTGGATGCATTATTTGGCTATAGAACTGCATTAGAAAATTTGAAGTACAGCTATGCTTCAGCTCATGTATTATTTCAGAAAGTGTGAATTTGGTAAACTTGCCTTTAAATGCAAATTGAGCCAAATACCCACCCTTTCCCCCTACTAGGGTACAGTGTCCATTACAATGCATGTATTAATTTCATTGGGTCTACACTTAATAAATTAAACTGATACCCTTTGTCATCTCAGGTGTTACTCACATCTGTTCCAAAGTGAACTCCACTTCCAGCACCTCATCCTTCTGACATTGGAAAAGGGAACGTAAAGAAAGGAAAGGAAATGTTCAAAATAATAACATTGAAAAATATACTTCTGAACTGATGCTGTTCTACTTCACTGGGAGTTCCTTCACAAGCAACTCTTTCCTCTAAGATATTCCTTCCCCTTGGAAAATTGTATGTGTATCTTGTTACATTGGCAACAAATATCTATTTCAATGTGCTTAGGTATGTTCCTGCCGCTGAGGGCCTTGCCTGCCTCCTTCCATCTGGGCTCCATTTTTGTTTTTGTTTTTTAAATTGCTTTTATTTTTTTATCTGTCATTTTAAATTGTAATTGATATTAATGCTGTATTCTTAGTTTTAGATTTTATTATTTATGTGGAAATTGTTTTCCATTTGGTTGTGTACTTTTTGATGTGTTTTATTTATTGCTTATGACTTTTGTTACGTTGGTAATTATGTAAATCTTATCATGTTGTTGTTGGGATACTGCCAGGGAGACAAAGTCCATCATGGCCCCACGTCTCCATTCGGAGGTCCATTGATCTCCCGTAGACACGCAGTATCAGCAATTAGCGACACAAGTTCCAGAATGCTTGCCACATTCCAGGGCTGGTGCACACTCTTATCAGCAGACAATGCACAGCAAAAGATGCACGCAGGAGAGCATAATTTATAAGTTTATTCTGCGTTAGTCAGAGCAGAGAAAAACATGACCGCCTTCTTCAGCGTTCAGGCAGCAAGCGAGAGGAAAACGAAAGCAATAGAAAACATAAACATCCTGTGAACAGGAAATACGCAGACTCTGACTCACAAAGCCTGCTCCCTTTTAAGGTGGAATGGAAATATCCCAACAGTTGTAAGCCGCCTTGTGCATTGTTTTAACTATGGAAAGGAGGCATACAAATAAAATGATGATGAGGGTGATAATGTTCCATTACATGCAGCAAAGCAGAATCCTGTGTTCCTCTATGATGCACCAGAACATATTTTGTACACAACAGGTAAGGTGAGTAAATGTGCCACCTTAGGGATGTTCTAGCTGGCTCCCTTACATAATTCATACGGGAAAACACAAGAATCCTAAACCCCAATAAACTCAATAGTCCAAAAATTGAGGCATATGATAAAGACATAAGAAATTCAGTTACATTTTACATATGTTTAAATAATTTCCATATATACTTTTTTATTGAAGAGTTCCAAGAAGCTACATGAAGGCGTGACCTCATACATATGCAAATTTGTCAAACTGGCATGCCTAGTTGGTTTCTGATTGAAAATTTCTATAAGTAGCTGATATATTTGCCTATACAGTGGTACCTCAGGTTACATACGCTTCAGGTTACATACTCCGCTAACCCAGAAATAGTGCTTCAGGTTAAGAACTTTGCTTCAGGTTGAGAACAGAAATCATGCTCCAGCAGCGCAGCAGCAGCAGGAGGCCCCATTAGCTAAAGTGGTGCTTCAGGTTAAGAACAGTTTCAGGTTAAGAACGGACCTCCAGAATGAATTAAGTTTTTAACCCGAGGTACCACTGTATGCATTGCTGTGAATCCAAAGTTGGGTTTTCCAACCAATCTCTAAAACAAGGCACCAAACTATTAAAAAAAGCCTTTAAGAAAATGATGCCCACAATAAGCCATTTTGAAAACCACTCTGACAAATTACAGGATATTTCAAAGAAGCCCTTATTAGTCTGCATCCCATCCTCCCAAACTGTACATATAGTTTTGTCTCTCACCTGCTGGTTCAGTTCAAAATGCCTGCAGACTGTTTCACCAAGCTGGAGCTGAGCTATATCAAAAAGAACTGTGCAAAGCTGGTCATCCCTGAAGGGAGTATCTTCATCGCATACTTTCAGTTCTAGTACATTCTAGGGAATAGGGGAAATTAGTCAATGTGTGGTGGTCAAAACCATTTTGAAGACAGGCAGCATTAGTGTATGCTTGGGGTGTTCAAAGGAGTATTTGGAATGATGGGTGTTGTAGTATTGACTTCTGAGCACCAGAGCAACCACCTCTTCTTGACACATCATAAAAATTTATCCTGCTCTTCTTTCATGACTATAAGGAATGAAAAATGGGTCATGATGGCAGTGAATGGCAATCAGCTGGTTCAGGAAGAAGAGAGGGAGTAAAATAATTGGTTGCTTTAGGCACAGGAGGAACATTTAATGGTAACATGACTCACATCCCTGCTAAACCATACGAAAGATACTCAACCATCACTTAACTACTTTAAAAAGCTCACTGTGTCCCTGTGTAGGAGGAATCTTCCCAAATCCATCCCAAGATAGCAGCACCTAGATCTTCAAAACAAAGCCTTAGCTTGAATATCTTTTGCTTCATGTTTACATTGATTAAACTAATTAGAACTCTGCTCCCCCTGAAAGTGATACTGGAAATGTCAGAAATTACACATCACTGTTGTAATTATTATTGCTATATATTTATTTATACCCCGCCTTTTTCCATGACAGGAATTCAAGACAGCTTACAGATGAAATAGGAACAGCTAAAAACATAGGGGAGGGAAACAATAATTTAAGAACAATTAAAAATTTATATAATTTAAACTATATATAAGTATAAAATATCCAGTGCCTTTTTTTTTCTTTTAAAAAATGTGTAGGGGTACTCTCATTTTCCTACTCATATTGAAATACTGCCCCTCAATGAGGCCAAATGTAAATTCACAAAATGTTTAGGGATATGCGTACCCCTGCATCCCCCAGAAAAAAAGCACAGAAAAGATCTGTTCAAAAATATGCTGATAATTTCAATAAAAACATCACAGCACAAACCCTTTCATTAAAAGCAGTCAGTTCCCAAAAGCCTGCAGGAAGACAACAAGGAGGGAACCAGTCTAATACTGGCCTCGGTCCTGTATACCTGAAAGAGTGTCTCCACCCCATCATTCAGCCCGGACACTGAGGTCCAGCGCTGAGGGCCTTCTGGCAGTTCCCTCATGCCAAGAAGTGAGGTTACAGGGAACCAGGCAGAGGGCCTTCTCGGTAGTGTCGCCCGCCCTGTAGAACGCCCTCCCTTCAGATGTGAAGGAAATAAGCAGCTATCTTGTCTTTAAAAGACATCTGAAGGCAGCCCTTTTTAGGGAAGTTTTAAATATTTAATGCTGTATTGTTTTTAACACACGATTGGGAGCCGCCCAGAGTGGCTGGGGAAACTCAGCCAGATGGGCGGAGTATAAATAACAAATTATTATTATTATTATTATTATTATTATTATTATTATTATTATTATTTTCTAAGGAGGGAGTTCCAAAATCTGGGAGCAGCCACCAAGAAGGCCCTCTCTCACATAATAATAAAAAATAATAATTTTATTATTTATACCCTGCCCATCTGGCTAGGTTTCCCCAGCCACTCTGGGTGGCTTACAGCATATATAAAACATAATAAAATATCAAACATTAAAAACTTCCCTAAACAGGGCTGCCTTCAGATGTCTTCTAAAAGTTATATAGTTCTTTATTTCCTTGACATCTAAAGAGTGGGCATTCCACAGGGAGCATGTCTGTGAGGGTTACAGGACCAAGAGAAGGGCCTGCCCCGAAAATCACATAACCCAGGCAGGTTCATATGACGGAATATGGTGTTTCAAATAGCTGGGATCTAAGCCATAGAGAGCTTTATAGGTCATAACCATCACTTCAAATTTTGCCTGGAATGAACTGGAACCCAGTGGAGCTATTGTGAAAAATGAGTTGTATGCTCCCTATAATTAGACTTTAGAGCTGCCCCAGGAGATTATTTAGAAATCTGATCTAAGAGAGACTAATGAAAATTATGAAACTTGTTTAGATCTGTGGTGTCTTTTTCACCATATACTTCAAACCACGCTCAGGCCTCCTTCATATGCAGAGCATATGTGGGAGCTGTTCCCACATGACACATCACTACAGTTATCAAGATAACTTAGGTAAGGACAGTCACTGGGTATTATATGTTCATCTAATAGATACAAACATGATTTTATTGTGATACACTTTCAAAAGTGACTGTGGGAATCCAGACAGAAAAGAAACCTGACAACACTTTACTGAGGAAACTGGGAGGAAGGGTAATAATTTGAGGAGAAAGGAACAGAGAAGTAGCTAGATTTGTAGCTGGTTCACTGACTGAACCCAAAGAGTACTCACTAATGGTTCCTTATTATTTTGGGGGGAAAGTGACAAGTGGGATGCTGCAGGGTTCTGTCCTGGGCCTATTGTTCTTCAACATTTTTATATATGACCTGGACAAAGGAATTGGGAGGATGCTGTTCAGATTTGCAGATGACACCAAACTGGGAGGGGTAGCTAACGTCATGAAAGACAGAAGTGGAATTCAAGAGGACCTTAACAGATTGGACCAAACTAACAAAATGAATTTCAACAGGGACAAATGTAAGGTTCTGCACTTAGGCAGGAAGAACCAGGGCACAAATATAAGTTAGGGGGACACCTGGCTTGCAAGTAATACATGTGAAAAGGATGTTGGGATCTTAGTAGACCATAAGCTTAACATGAGTCAACATTGTGATGCAGCAGTAAAAAAAAAAAAAAAAAGCAAATTCTATTCTAGGCTGCAACAACAGAAGTATAGTGTCCAGATCAAGGGAATTAAGAGAACCACTCTATTCTGCATTGGTCAGAGCACATCTGGAATACTGTGTCCAATTCTAGACACCACAATTTAAGAAGGATATTGACAAGCTGGAACATATGCAGAGGTAAAGGTAAAGGGACCCCTGACCATTAGGTCCAGTCGTGACCGACTCTGGGGTTGTGGTGCTCCTCTCACTTTATTGGCCGAGGGAGCCAGTATACAGCTTCCGGGTCATGTGGCCAGCATGACTAAGCCGCTTCTGGCGAACCAGAGCAGCGCACGGAAACGCCGTTTACCTTCCCACCAGAGGAAAGTTTTTTTTTTTTTTTTTAATAATTTTTATTGGGTTTTCACATTTTATAAAGACAAAAACAAAACACATAACACCAAAACAAACATAAAAAAAAACAACAACAGCAAACATGAATAGTTCCAAAAAGTCTTATTTTCTAACCCTAGTCCTTGACTTCCCCCCACCCCCTCCCTTGCATCCCTGTTCTCAGGTTTATGTCAGCAAGTTAGCATTTCTTCCTTCTTAATATTAGTCCTTTTATAGAAGCAAAAAATAAGTTTTCCCTAAGTTGGACCCCAATTCTCTTCCCTCGATTTCTCATTTTTTCTTAAGTAATTTCCTTATTACTAAACCCCTGGTCTTGAGTGTTATTTAAATTTATGCTTCCCTCCCTCCCATCCCTGCTTTGCGTCCTTTCCAAGACATGTCCAAAATAACAGTTTTTAGCCTGGATTCCGCACATCCGAGGCTCTCAAATCTATTTCAGTCCCTCTCCGCCGGTTTTGTTGGTAGTCCTCTTTGTCAGTCATCGAGTCTCGAAAGATTCCATTAACATTCAATCCAATCAGTCCATAGTCTCTTCCCATATTTATAAGCAACTGCTGAGGAATTTCCACAAGGCCTGAATCTTGGTGATGGTCAAAATCAAAGTCTATGTGGAGGCCCCAATTGTACTTCTTTATTTCGAGTTCCTGAGTTCCATAAACTCCCAGGGCCTCCACTTTCATCTTCTGTATCTTTCGTAGGCTTGGAATAGATTCCATCCAATGGTCTCCTTGTTTGTATTCTCCAAATATCAGCTTCTGGTTAGTATTTTCCCACATGACTTGTTCTCTTTCTTGTTTTGTCTTCTCCTCTTCTTTGTTTATTATTTCAAATTCAGCTGTGGGTTCTTTCTCATTCAAGTCCTCATTACATTCAGCAGAGCTACTTGTTTCCAAATCCAAGGCCGTCAGTTGTTTACTCATAGCTGTAGTCTGCTCCTGTAAGGTTCCCACCAGTGAAAACATCCTTTCGATTTCTCTCAGTATCTTTCCACCCACAGCCATTGTAATTCCACAGAATTCCCCCTAGAGGGAATCTGGTTACTGGATGGTCTTTTCTCCAACAATCCTCTGTCCTATTATTGTTTCTTTGTTTCCCAAAATTTTAGTTCAATTGTAACTCCTTTTTATCCGGAGAGGTCTTAAGTAGCAATTTTTTCAGTATTAACAGTCCATTTGACAGCTTTGACAGCTGTCAAATTCTGCTCCTCTATACAGGCTCCAAAGCAGATCGCTCCCGGGCTCGGGAGGGAGGGTTGTTTACCACAAAACAAAAACTCTTCCAACACTCCACTCTCCTGTTTAAATTTGCTTTTCCAAATCTTGGAAGTTACTGTCTTTTTTAAAACTCACCCTTTGCAGGGTAGGCACTCCAGCTTAGCTCTTATATCGTTGCTCTGGATCGTCTGCAAGGGGGGGGGATGGGGACTTCCTTTTGGCACACCCCCCCGGTCGTCTCAAATTCAAAAGGTAAAAGTTTTTAAAGCTCAGTTCCAAATTACTCACGGGTTCTTTTTTTTTCAGTCCGAATTTCAAGGAAGGAAGTCAGCGCTCTCCAGTTATGGCTCGCGGCTTCGCTCAGCGGCGGTAGCGATCGACTCTCAGTGCCGCGCCGTCCCCCGTATCCCCTCCATAGCCTTTAAAAAGGCTCTTCGCGAATCAGGGGGGGCGCTTAAGGCACCCGCCGAGTCTTCAGTCCGCAGGCATCTGCACCTGCGGTTTTTAAGGGTCCCCGTGTCGCCGGCACGGCAAAGACCCATCCACCGCTGAGCCGATTCCCTCCGGAGTTCGGAGGGAATCCGCCATTCCCGGATCGCGCCAACCCGGAAGTCCCCCCACCAGAGGAAAGTTATCTACTTGCACTTGGCATGCTTTCGAACTGCTAGCTTGGCAGGAGCAGGGACTGAGCAATGGGAGCTCACCCCGTCGC